GAGGTTAGGCCGATGTCAGACTTTGCGAATCGCGCGATTCGCTAGCGTCCGCGGTCGCGTTGCGGTACCAGCCAATTGAGTGATTCACTGGCCGCGACGCGACCGCAGACGCTAGCGAATCGCGCGATTCGCAAAGTCTGACATCGGCCTTAGGGGTCGTAGCAGGTATTTTTCACCTCTTGACCTCTAACCTTATCGTGGAATCCTCCTTTGAAGGAAAGCCATCGCGCTGACTCTCTGGTGAAGCAGAGTTCATCGCGTCATTCATGAAATAGCTGAAATGAGAGCTGGCATGAGATGGAGATTTTACGAAGTTAAGCTCGTCAGGAAAGGCCTCTCGATATCAACGGCATGGAAGGAAGCTAGAGCGGGAACGCCAAATTTTACACGTCAACCCGCACCAGTTGCAACCCCTCCAACGTCCGAAGTCCAGGTGGAGATGGCTTTTGTGGCGAGATCAGTTGCATCATCACCTAAGATGGGCAACGGTTGAGGACTCCTTGGTAGGGAGGCGTATTTGGGTTTTTAGTGGATGCAAATTGAACTTCGGGAAGCAGGTGATAGAGAAGGAAGACGAAATATGATTTGCTGCTCTAGTCCCCACTCCCCATCCCACCTCATTTTATAGCAATTTTGGAGAATTTTTGGGGTAGCATCAGGCTTGTAGCTTACTCAGAGCTCTATTCTACGGCACCATGGAAATCGACCAGAAAAAACTCGCCATCCGATCAAAAAGTAGGGGAAGGGATCGTGCTGATAGAGAATGTACTGCCATCAATGTCCTCGACACAATGTTCGTAATTCCGTATCGGTTTCCGTGCTCCAATGTGAATCTTACGGTAGTGATGGTGATATTCGTATCCTTTAACATTTTCAACTCTTCTTTGAAGTCGGAAGGTGAGCTGCGCTCTTATGTTCTCGTTTTCTTTGAATCTTTCAACTTTGAACTCGTAGATGATGTTATTACATGGAGTTGTACGTCACGCTTTGTGTATTCCGAAGTGTATGCTTGAGAAAGCGATGTGGAACGTATTGGGGCATTGCGTGTTACTTGATTTGCTTTAATTTGACTACATGAACGTTAATTTTCTTGTTCATACATTCAAACCAGTGCCTTTCCGCGTTCAAGCCCTTTGGATGCTATCCAACCATACATCACTCAAGAATCGCAAATGTGACTGACGTTCATGTTTGCGGTCACGACATTTATTTCCACCAAATTCGGTGTAAACTTCTGTAGAGGGGTTATTTGGTGTCCTGTTTACACATTGGTTTTTGCATTAGCGCTGCTCGACGCTTGTTTCCCGTTCTCCTGAGCTCTCACCTATGCGTAGCGTCTGGGTACAAGCCCAGAGGGAAGGGGATGACTCCTGGGGCGGAATTGAATCCTCCCACAAGGGGTTGGGGGAAAATCCCTTTGAATTTTCTCTGTCTTCCCAACTGGGATTGTCCTGATAAAGGGCCTACATTTAATGTATGTATGTAGGTCAAAGTAAATATGCGCTGAAAATGAAGAAAGTATATCGTTAAAAACAAGTGTGGATCACTAGGACAGAAACCAATTTCCGCTCTTCGCACGCTCGCGACAAGAACCCCAGCGAGAAGCAACAAATCCGATTTCTGACCTAGGAACCACACCCGGTAACTCCGTGTGGGTAAACCAGGCACCGCTAGACAAAAGTGGAAGCGCATGAGGTCACAGGGTGAGTGGGGTGCTCACCTCGCTGTCCTCTTCCCAAAGGCTTAGTCCTGATCGTTCAAGTGAAAGGACGCAGACGAGCGAAAAATATACGCCAAGTGGCTCCACCACCAAGAATGAATGTCATATTCGTAATCAGGACACCAAATAACCCCTAAACAGGAAGTTTACACCGAATTGAAAGAAATGCCGTAAAGGTGACACCAACTTTCGCCAGATGATGTCCCGCTAAAATGAATGTCATTTTCGTCATCAGGTCACGAACTACTATATGGGTCAGAGTTTTGACGAAAAATGAAATTTCTAGATATGGGGCTGTAATAGTTGAATAGTGTTAGTATTTGTCAGTATCGTTTCGATTTCACTTTTCTGGAAAAATGCTTTCCTCAATTTTAAGCCCCGTGATACCATCTTGTTTCGTTCCGTAATACGACGTCGTGTCTAGAGCAATTCGGGATAATTTCACAACATTTAGATCGGCAATGGGTGATCACTACGGCTTCTCGCTGACCACGTTCAGGTACTAGGTTTCCCGTTATTTGCCACTTATCTTGTTAATTCATCACTTTTCAGTCCATCAGGAAAATTGATGCAGATCGAATACGCACTGAATGCAGTGAAAAATGGTCAGCCTTCTGTTGGACTAAGAGGTAAGTCTTTGTTATGAGTGAATCAAGTAATATCACTCATTCCCCCTGGAGGCATAGGTTTTTGAACTGGGCACATTCTCAAAGGTCCAAGTTTCTCTCCTGCTCACACAAAACGCCTCTTTCTTTTCCACACTGATAAAACTGCATACGTATGGCTCACGCTGTGTGGAAATGGTGTTGCGGAACTAGACCAGCAGATAAGCGTTCCGCCCATTTTCACAGAACTCAGGCCAGTCACTGGTTTCCTGCTGCGCCATATTCGAAGTGGGACGCGACAAACTCTACGTTTTTGAGCTGCGAAATTAAGGTGCTGGTATTTTAAAACTTCAGGCTTATGTGCCTTCTGGATTAGCTGAAAGAGTTTGATGAATTGTTTAAAAAACGGGGAAAGAAGAAGCCTATCCAATATATTCGTTTTTTTCTTTGAAAATCTGGATTGCCACGAGATGTGTCGATTTGTGACATAAGCCCTTTTTAGCAAAAGGATGTGTGGTGATATGATCGACCGAGAACAATTGCCTTCTGTACTATTCGAAGAACCAGCCCGAAAATCGAGAAGATTTAGTAGTAAGCACATTGGATGTGTTTACAGGTATCCCTATACTTTCTATTGATTTCTCCGTTTCTGTTGAGATATCAAACCACCACTTACTTTGTTCGAGGAATTTTTATGTGTCTTTAGTGGAATGGGACCAGATTTTCGAATTCTGGTTAAACGGGCCCGAAAGATAGCGATGGAATATGAAATGATGTACGGAGAGGAGATTCCCACCACTCAACTGGTTACACAGATTGCAGCCGTGATGCAAGAGTACACACAGTCGGGGTAAGCTTGAACTATTTCTCACCTTTGAGTCAGTTGTCAACTTTCGAAACATTTGACGTTTTAGTGGTGTACGTCCTTTTGGTGTGTCATTGCTGATTGCTGGCTGGGATAAGACTCCAGGTCGACCACTTTTATTCCAGAGCGATCCATCCGTGAGTGGCTTCAACTCATTTTGCTTAAATGTTTCATTCTCTTTTTTGTATTAACCGCAGAGGCTCTAACGGTTGTTCAGGGAGCCTATTTTGCGTGGAAGGCGACAGCTCTTGGCAAGAATGATGTGAATGCCAAAACATTCCTAGAAAAGAGGTACAGCGAGGCTCTAGAGCTCGACGATGGCATTCATACAGCTCTGCTCACTCTGCGGGAATCTTTCGACGTTGGTATGACAGAGGATAATGTTGAGGTATGTTCACTTGATCTGTTTTCTAACCAGTAACTTTGATCTTCTCAACCATGATTACCTTGTATCTTTGCGGATTCGCCTTCTAATTGTTCATCCAACAACATTTACATCCAATTTCCTCGACAATATTGAGCTCAGCCTCATTTTCTTGCTTAACATTTCGACAATACTGACGAACGTTTTTGTTTTGCAATAATTCTTTTCTTGCAGGTGGCTATTTGTAATGCGAAAGGCTTTCAACGCCTCACCAAGCAACAGGTTAAGGATCACCTCGGAGCTCTGTAACCGCAATTGGTTAAGCAGAATGTTCCTTTGTGTTGTTTTCCCCAGAATAACGAGTATTCTCAAGAAGCTTATTGTACTCTTCTGGTATTCTGAATGTACTCCTCTTTTTTTTCTTTGTTAGTGTGACCCCTCTCGCTCTAATTCCAGAAATATTTTTACGGTGTCAATATTTAAGAAATATTGTAATAAAAGTTCTTGAATGTGGGTTTATCGCTTGTGCAATGTTTTTGGTACCTTCCGATGCGAT